TCGCTTTGGACAAGTTGTTTTACTTCTGCTGTAATTTCCCTATTTGTGAAACATTTGTGTATCACAGAGTTGCACTATATCTACCACCTTCCTATTATCTTCCGTGGTTCCAACACTGGCAGTCTTTTCTGTTGTGAAAGACTGTGGTTAGCATCTGGTCTGTTTTTGACTCTCCAACCTGAATAACTAGATAACCTAGCTGTACATGGATTTCTTCCACACTCATTTGGAGTATGGCTTGAACTCAGACATCTGGATCCTGTAGCAAGACATCTACATTGCTCTGTCACCCTTCCCTAGTGGCTGTATGAATAGTGTCATAGAAAGTCTCCTTCTTTCCTTACCTGTCCTTAGAGGGACTATTATCATGGATCATTGCATCTCAATTTCTCTAAGGTCAGAGGTCATCTTCTATTTCAGCAGGGGCCCATGTCTACCATCTGTGGCACATTTCAGGGCAGTGACCCCTCCTAAACTCATAGTCTTGTCACTGATGGATCTATGGATTCTAGCTGTTTGCCCTCTCCCATGTCCATCAGTCCATGTTCTGCTAATGTTAAGCTAAATCTAGATTGTACCTTCAGCTCCTGCAACATTGTCTTTATTTGAGCAAAGAGGAGGAGGAGCAAACAAAAACTAGTAATTTTCTTGTGCATCTGTCTCTGTTGTTGTGAGTCATGAAACATAAGAAAAGGAGGTGGTAGCAATAACGATGTGTGTCAATCTTTGCCAACAACTTTAGCTAAGTCCTTTTTCTGGCTCCTACTTGATAGCCAGGTTTGGAAGAACTGTGCAGTCCCTCTCTTCCCCCTCATACCTCTCTCTTACTAGGACTGGCCATTTATATCCTGGTTCATCATTTGGCTCAGTTCCTCTCGGCTCTCTGGAGTATTGGTCTTGAGTATGTTGTCTTCAGATGTGGATGATGAAGCACAGAACAATTATGTGACTGCCTAACCCTCTAGAGCAGGGGTGGACAAAATGGTGGATCCAGCCTGTAGCCAGACTTAATTTCCTGGCAGCCCCAGCAATAGTGGCTTCTTGTGGCTGCCACTGCAGGACCCAGTCCTGCTACCCAGGCATCCAGGACCGTTTGCCTCACACTTACCACTGGGGACAGGACACTCACATGCAGGTGGCATGGCTGGGAGGCTGGGATAAGGCTGCAGCTAGGACAGAAATGGGTAGGCAGTGCTGGGCAGACCCCAGGATCTTGGGGTGGTGACAGTGCAGGGCCAGGGCCAGGGCCAGGGCCAGGGCAGAGCCACAATCCATTGCCCACATGCCCCTGCTAGAGAGGCAGTCAGGCCCCCAGAAGCTGGTTTTGCAGATCAGGAGGTTCTAGCTCCTTATCTACTGCTCAGTGCAGTAAACCAGAAGCAACCTCTGTGCTACATCATCAAGCCTTCCATTTGTAAGAGCACCTGAGTTCTAGCTCATAGACAGTACGGACAACATTATATTCAAGTATATTATGCTAGTGTTTTAGTGGCAGGAATATAATAGGTTTTGCTGCTGCATGAACTTATGCATAGTGTTTATCCAGAGAGGGAGAGAATAACTCAAACTAGAGAGTGACCCAAGAAGTTTTCCAGATTGCAGACAAAGGGGAAGCAGTAATAGAGACTTTGTCCTGAAGCTTCGTCCCTTGGAATGGGATCCACCCTCAAGTCTGTATCTCTCCTGTTTGTTTCCCTGCTGGGACAGCCTTGAGGCTGTACTTCTTTCTCAACGAACGAGTCCATATGCCATGTAGGCACCAGCACTATGGAATAGGGAGAGTTGAAGGTGAAAGTCAGAGGCCCAAATCCCAGAGGTATTTACTCACTTAAGCTCTATTTAGGCACTTACTTAGCACCCACTTGCGTCAACAGGCTTGGATTCACAGGCTTTGAGAATGTGGCCCTTGGTTCTATCATGACCACAACTCCTAGTGGGTAGTGAAATGCTTAACTTTTTCAGTGTTGCCAACTAATCACAGTTTTTATTGTAAATGGAATGATTTTTGGTTAGGGCTTCTTACAGTCCTCTGGCCTACAAACCTCTAGGAGAATGTCAGCTTTCATTTTACAAGAACCTAGAAAATCAAAAACATGTTTCTGTGCTCTTCAGAAACCACCCAGCTCCATGTCTTAATCCAGGGGTTGTCAAACTCAGTTACCCTTGTGGACTGCATCAGGACTGTAGGGCTCCTCACTGGCCAGATCTTGTCTGTGTGAAGATCCAGATACAGCAGTGGTGTGGAGGTTAACACAAATGTTGTTCACTGGGGTACATGTGCCCCATTTCCACTGGCCCTAGCCCTTCAACCAATCCCATGGATTATTTCCTTGATACCTCTGTCCTAGACCATTATTCATACTCCACATATCAGAGGATATTGCACCTAAACTGAATATCATATACAGGCAGTCATCGGACTTGCAACATAATTCCTAAAAAGCCTGTCAAGTCAAAACATTGCAACTCAGAACTGATTTTCCCATAGAAAACACATGGAGGATTGGTTCCTGAACCAAGGCCTGATACCCTATTTTCACCAAAAATAACCCAGAATTTTGTACTCAGTCAATTATAGATGGGTAATATAGCTACATTAATGTATTATATTGCAAATAGCAATCATATTAATTTGCAAGGACTTCTTTGAGGTGGCTTTGCTGGACTTTTTGAAGGGCTGTTGGTTGGACTTTTTGAAGGGTTCTTAGCTGGAGTCTTCTAAGGAGTCTTGGCTGCAGGTTTTTCTGGAGTCTTGTCTGCTTTCTTAAAGAAAGGGTCCAAGGAAGTTTGGACAGATGTTCTCCAGGGAGATGGGCAATGCAGCAAACTTGTACGCTGGCATAGTGTTGCATCCGGTCAAGCATTGTAAAGTTGAAACTGACGTCAGAAAGTTGAAACAGGGTGTCAATTTAGAAACGTTGTAAGTGCAAAACATAACTTGAAACATTGTAGGTCGAAGACTGCCGGCATATCAAATCTGTTTTTGCTTTTCCCATACATTAATGTTTAACAATGGGCCACATTTTACTTTGCAGTGAAGTTGGGTTAGAAGTGCACTGCTTTTTTCTACATGAGCCACAACATAAATGTTTGAAAGAAAACAGTGTTAAAATATTGAACCACTTATGAAAGTAGCAGAGGCAGACTCTGATTAGTATTTAGCACTGTTGAATTACAGAAGAGCACCAATGAAGCATGGGTTTAATTTATCTGGCACGTTGTTCAATAGAAACCTGAAAACAGGAATGTCTGCAGTATTGGAAATTGTTGTCAGAGTTGTTAGGGACTTGCAAATGTTTTAAAAATACAAATCAGGTGAAACAAAAACTCAGAATTGTTCGAGCATTTGAGAACTGGCCCACTTTGTGAAAATGATGTCATGCATCTCCATAATGGAAAATAATGCTCACAAATAGCAATGGTATCATAACTCCATGGTTATATGAAGCCTATATATGAGTAAATATAAAATGCAGTATGTTGAGAGAGAAAGGGTGTGTTGCCTACTGTTTCAATTTTATTTTCACCTTTATACTGTTTTTGCTTCCCTAAACCTCCAGCTCCTAGAATCAGATTATATTATTAGAACTTCAGCTTTCAGTTTTTACAATAATCTTTTAGCACACATTTACAGAGAAAAGCTGGACCAGAAATTAGATGGCAAATAGAAAGAATACAAGCAGTAAGGTAGTATGTGCTTTGCTTTTGTTTAATCTTTTTTTTTAAATGCTTAGTTTTCAGTATCATCAAACCTATGGTTTCTAAAGAGAACTATGAAATGAAGACACTTCAAGTATGCTACTTACAATGTTTACATTAAAGTCCAAACACCCTATTTTTATGATATTCAAAAACTGCTTACATATTCCAGCTCAGCTCACTATTTGTTGTTCTAAATAAAGTACTTTCCACATGAAAGCCCTTACTCTATTGACAAGCACACTTAGCCATTTTTTCCTTGACACATTTTCTTTGGAGTGGAGTCAATAAAGATCAATTATTTGTTTTCCAAATAAAAAGAGCACATTATCTCAACTCATACAATATCTTAAACCAATTGCTCAAGTCAATGGAAGAGATAATATGCTAATACTTGACTGATTTGCTGCTCATAAAGCTGTAATACTAAGGTTCACCATAGTCTTAGAATAAGTAGCCCATCATTTTCTGTAGCTGCAAGTATATGTTGCATGGAAAGAGATGCCCAGTGGTAAATCAAAGCGGGGGAAGCTATGAAGAAAAGCAAAAGCACTGATTTTAGAGGGATATAATTATTTGCACACTGGACTGGCAGCCAGGTACTAGTGAGTTCTAATCCTGGCAATGATACTAATTTCTGTGGCTTTGGACAAGCTGCTTCACTTGTCTATGCGGCACAGTTAAGATTGCTTAATGCCTCTAAAGTGCTTTCAAATTAGGGTTGAAAGTATTTTGAAGATGTATATCATCGTCTAAATGTTTAGGTTAATGTTCACACCTCATTTCTGATTGTTTCAGCTAACTAGTGCATAGTGTGCAATTCCATGCCTCCCCTTCTATCAGTCCTTAGTGATAACCTCTCTCTCACTCTCTCTCTCTTACTGCAGGAATAATGATGATTCATTTGAATGTTTGGACTGTGCATATGAAGAGACTGTGTTAGTAGGGCAGCAGTGTTTGCAAGGAAGAAATATATTGAAACACTTCCCTGCTGTCTATCAACTGATGTGAATGTTACAGGTAGGCATGAATGATCCAGGTGCTGATACCTTGATTCATCATTCTACTTCTGTTCAGCAGAGTACTTAACTATGTGTTTAACTTCAGGTAGGTGCTTAAGTGCTTTCTGAGTGGCCTGGACTTAAACCCTTTCTTAAATGATTTGCTGAAATGGCAAGCTTATGCATGTAATGGCATGTATCCTTTTGTGCAGGAGATGTAAGACAGAAGGAACAGGATAATTAAGGGTGGGAGAAAAGTTGAGCTTGAGGAAAGACTTAATGGTCAGAATGGAGGTAAATTTCAAAATGAAAAGCAAAATGGTTCAACCAGGCTACAGTGAAGATGTTTGACTGGCAAATGCTTGGGCTGTCTCCTTTCCACTTCTTCATTTCTCTGCAGAGTGCTCTACCAGCTGGAGAGAAATAGGTTAATCACTCAGCCATTTCTACACCCCACATGTCTATAATGTCATGATATGGTAATTGCAGGTGTATATGTGTGCTGCATAAGGACAAAGTGCAGTCCTTGGTTGTGTGGCCACACTGGACTGAACACACCTCATCTTGTCTGGTCGTGGCCTGGCCAGTGTTTGGTTGGGAAACTGTCTGACAGTCCCAGATATCGTTTATACAAGCCAGAGATTTATGACTCAACACTAGACTATATGAAGTAAATGAGGGATAAGACTTCATTTGACTCCATCATTAGTGCTGACCCTGACAGCTGAGAATAAAAGGAAGGAAGTTGGTCTCTGGGAAGCAATGGAGATGCAGCTGAGACTTGAACTGATGGAAACGTGTTTTTTTTTGTCTACAGTGGGCAGTTGTCTTTGTTAAGTGTTTATATTTCAGTTGTATCATTGACTGTGACACCTACTGGGAGAAGTATAAAAAGAAACAGATTTGTGCCCTCCCCTCAACTCTTCCCTCAAATGCTCTGTCTGTTTCATGATCTTTTATTCTATCCATCCACCCACCCATCCTCTGAAATAATGGATATTAAGTACATTCCAGCTGGGAGTTTTGACTGTGGTGTGCTAGTACTCCTGCTTGTTACTTACACACCCCACAGAATCCTGGCTAGTGGGTCTTGCTTTTCTAGTCTGGGTCAAAACAGTGGCCAAATTTGGGGTCAGGAAGGATTCCTGCCCCCTCTCAGTCAGATTGGCAAGGACTGTGGGGTATTTGCTTTCCTCTGAAGCATGGGGCATGACTCCCTCTTAGGTTTCAGTTGCTGTATTGACACAAGACACTACTGCATAGTCATTACTGTGCATTTATTTAGTACTTTAGTACCCAAGTTACTTCTCAGTAGTGCCGTTGAATGCCTTTTTTGATGCTACTGCACAGTAGCCTAATACTACTGCACAGTAGCATTGCATCATGGTTTTTTCCACGTGATGTTACTGCCCAGTAGTATCGGGATACTGTGCAGTTGGTGTCTTGTCAGTGAGCACATATTCTTCAATTACCTCTCTGCTGTTGCAGTGTCAGGCATGGCACTCTCGTCCTGTGCTTTTACCTGTAAGGTGTTCTTGCCATTTTTGGCTTTGTGCTGTGAAGCTATGGTGTGTGAGGGTCTGGAGTGGATGACTTTTTAGAGTCCTTGGGTAAATGGTTAATTGTGAGTTCAGGGGACTGGACTTGATGACCTGTGAGGCCCCTTCCAGTCCTGTGTTTTCATGTCTTAAGTTCAGAAAACACAACAGAATCTGCTTGGTGTTACAACTTGGGAAGGGTTAAGGGTGGATCTGATCCTGAAACTACTGACTACATTGGCAGATCCTCTGTTGACTTCAGAAGTGCAGGATCTACCTCGCAAGGGCCAGCATCACTAATGTTAACACCAGGATTGTCTTTAGAAGGGAATATGAAAACTGCATGATGGCCACATGACCTATACCTAGTTTAACCTCTTGATGAATATATAATGAACAAGAGACAGTGGGACTTCTACTGCTTATATGAAAGAGCCAAAGCTTTAATGTAGCACAGGGTATAGATTTAAAACTTAAGCAAAGGTGACATTTGGGAAGCATTAGCTTTCATTTCAACTATACGTGTTTTTTTTTTTATTGCAGAACATACCAAAGAATGTGATCTCTGGCCCCATTTTAAATTATTTTAGGGTACTTTTACATAAACAGAAGATACCAGGCTCCAAAGCTAACAAACTGACCTGGTCATCCACAGAACAAGCATAACCTGAGAGGTGATAGTACAAAGTTTCTCTTTCTGTCCTGGCAGTGCCCCTCATCTCTAGTTTGGAGGAACTATACTTATAGGGCAAAAAAGCAGTTAAATCTTTCTGTTGCTTTAGTTTTTACTTTCTCTGTTGCTGATAGTGTCAACAAATACCAATTCAGGATGTCAGTTTTTGTGCTGATGACACTTGTGCACTAGTCTTGATTGAAATGACAAGTAATTCCCATGTTAGAACATATTTGTGGTTAGTTATCGTAGAGAAGACTAGCACCAAAGTGGGAAGTGGGAGAAAAATAGGTTTAGATCAGGATTAAAGGAATTATTAAATGCAAATGCTCTGATATTTCAGTAAAAATCCAATGAACATTTTACACTCATTTTTTCCTAAGAAAGGTTAAGTTTCCACCCTGCCTCAAATCAATAACTTTCTTTGACATCTGGGTCACAAGTAGTAGAGAAAATCAGGAAACTCCTGGCAATCTGCCATCTAATTATATCTGCAACACAAAATTGCTGCTTCAGCTGTGTCTGGCAAACATCAGGGAAGCTTTAAACCTAACTATGCATGAAATCTCTAACAGACTCCGTACACGTGTGAAAATTGCCCGCATAACATTTAAAATGGTTGCATCTCCTCTTAATTGTATTCTAATTAGATAAACAAGATACTGTAGTGGTTTTAAGAAAGCCTTAAATTGTTAGATATCTCATTATAACAATTAACATTATCACTGCGATGACAACTGATGTGTAAGGAGATGGAGCACAAGTTGGCATGAAAGCAAATAGTGGAGAGAATTGCTTTCTACTAGGAAAACAGCAAGCTGCAAGATTTCAGAAATAATTATTACGCTTGTGAAAAATCCACTTGGCAGTTCATTTCATTTGTATCTTAGGGTTGTCATTCTTTGCTTTTCAACAATTTCTTGCCACTAAATACAGACTTGAAGTCTGAAGTAAAATCCCCCACCTCAGCTTTTATACTCGTTCTTAAAGGGCATTGAGAGAGTATTATTTTGGCGACTTTCATGCTGCTGAAAGTGTTACTGTACTTAGGTTACTACCCTAGCTCACTCTCTAGACCTCATAGTGCCACACTATATATCTAGCCCCTCAGTTTTTACTGTTCACTACCAGTCATTATTATTTATTGGTTTAACTGTGGTTGATGTTATAAAAACTTACATGAGACTAACCAAAGGGTTAAAATCTGTCTCCCTTTATACTGGTGACAGAATTCCCCTTGACTTTCTTGGTGCCAGAATATACCCAAGGAGTTTACATGCTCATGCTTTGATTCTTGAACTTTTGTGCAAGAGCTTAATTTTACTCATGAATAGTTCCAGTGGATTCAATGTTGGTATTATTTAAACTTGGAAAAAAGATGATTTTATGAACAACTTAATGTGTCCAACCTTGTAGTAATTAATTCCACTCTGTTTTATTAGGTAGAAACTGCAGTCTCATGATCACATACAATATTTACCTAGTTTGTTTTTAAGTTGCTGCTATGGAAAATGTCGAAGGTATTCTTATAAGAGGGGTTGAAATGAGGAATGCATCTTATGGGCTCCTGTGGAGACTGCATGCTCCAAATAAAACTGAGTTATGCTCTATTAAGCTCTGTTTTGCCTTCCTCTCCTTAACAAACCCTCTATTAGGTCATGAACCCAAAATATGCTTGTATACTGCTGTTGCCAATAGTTCCCTAATCTGAGGGAAAAAGATTTTTTCCTTCTATTTAAATGATGTAGTACATTCTAGTTGTCTCCCAGGATGGCTCTTAGGTTTGGAAAGGACCTTGTTCAAGAATTTTCAGACCTGCCTGGTGGCTGCACTATATGCCACCAAAATCTCTCCAGAAATCTCACCTCCGCTGTCATACCTAGGAGACACTGACATGGCTGCATAGTCAGTGCAAATGATCACACACATAACTTTCACTGGCACGGGGTCTCTTCGTTGCCTTCCCTTGGTCTGTTTGTTGTACTCATTTGTCTGTGCTGTAATCTTTTGGCATGGCAGCATCTTTTTCATGGCCATACCTAGGACAACTGCCAAGAAGCATACTGCGTCCACTTAGTCCTGCTCAGTGCATACCAAATCCCAGAAACAAGGCGCTATTGCCACCTTAGAGTGGCCCTGAGTATAGAACACGAAACATGTAAGAGACAGAAAATGGTTTAGAGGTGGGAGCTTAGAGCTCAGGGATTTGGTTTGTGTTTGGTACGTCATAGCATGGAGCCTGCTTTGTGGCTGTAGTCATGGGCATGGCATAGAGGTGATGTAAGCGTTCTCTTTTTGGGGCTGAATTTTGGTAGCATGTAACTGAGAGGTCATGCTCAGGCTGGGAATACCATGCACTACCGCAACATAAATTATCTCTAATCATTTCTGAGTAGAGGTGTAAGGGGAAGAAAGAGAAGACAGGGGAGGGAATGTGCCACTGAGTGTGGAGGGAGGGGATGGGGTGCCAAAAGTGGGCTCTGTGTGTGGGATTCTTACTTGTTTAGGGGACTTAAAAAAATCTCCATCTGCTGTTCCTGCAGGGTTGTCTGCATGCCCCAGTGTGGGGAGGCAGGGAGTGGAGGGTCCAGCCACCCCTTCAGCACTGGTGACTGCTCCCGCATCCCCTTTTTAAAAATCCCGGATTTGTCTATGCTTGTAACACAACAGCTGTGCTGTGATTGTGGTACAGTGTCAAGTCCTATGAGGATACTTTAGCTCTGAAGGTATTATGGGATGCTTTTGGGTGCTGATCCAGCAGAGCACTGAAGCACATGCTTAACTATAAGAAAATGGATTCTTTGGCTT